CATATATTCTGACTCCTGCATAAGGTGCCCAGGATATCCAGAAAGCCATCACCAGGACAAAGGACATAATGTGGCTCGGGTTGCTCAAGTTTTCGGAAAGCGCGGTGGCATATTCCTTGTCGTGAATCAATACGCCCGATTTCAGTCGTCTCATCATCGAGAAGATATAGAAATAGGTATAGACAATGGTGATTACGGATGGCCCAAGCACGAGGATCGACAAGGTGATAGTGTAAGCGGCCATGTTGCCCCAATCGAGCATGCAGATGAAAGCCTCGCGATCAAAAATCGGCTTGTTGAAGCCGAGAAGAGGCGGACAGCACATCATGGCAACGCTGATCCACGTGAAGACCATCCAGCATTGACATCGAGTCTTTGTCTGAACGGTCTCGTATCGGAGTGGTTTCCTTTAAAGATTATTACAAAATAATTCTTTATTATTTTTCTATTTAAAGTAGAAAGAATAAAAAGAATTCATAAGGGAGAAAAAAACTGACTATCTAAATTTTGTTACTTGATCTAGATGATTGGATAAGTAAAAAAAAAAAAAAGAAAAAAAAAGATAAATAAATATATTTAGATTCACCTGATGGCTAGGTAACGATCGACGGAAATCCACATGAAGGTATAGACGGATACCGCCCAAAGGGTAACTTCGAGATATCCGACCAGACGACACACGATGTCTCCGTAGACCCATCTTCGCACCAAAGCCGGATATACGGAGAGCGGAACAACTAGCAGACCGCAAAGAAGGTCCGCCGAAGCCAGCGATAGCAAGTAGTAATTTATCACCTCGGAGGGACCTGTACGAGGTATTATTTTCTTAGGAACATTTTTCGAACTTGATTCGAATTTGTTGAACTTGGTTATCTTGTACTTTTTACTTTTATCTTGTAATTTCGCCTATATTATATATATATATATATATTATATATGTATGTATATATGTACATATGTATATAATTTATATTTAAACACACACAGTCACACACACACACACATATATATATACATACATATTTATACGAGAACAGTATATTACAACATGCTGGTATATTGAGAATCCTTGCAATCTGTTATGAAATTATTTATTATTCCACCTGCTTAACCTTCTTTTTTTCTCTCGTTGGTAAACTCGTCTAAAGCTAATATGGTCGAATGCTGTTGCGAATTGTGTAAATTGCATTGCTTTTATCTATGTAACTCATTGGCCGACAACTTACCACGGAAATTGAGGTATGTGGCGATGATGAGGAGATTCGAGAGGATGATGGCGACACAGACCACGAAGATGAGGCCTGCCTGCATGAGAGCCTCCAGCGAGGGCTCCTCCATGCCGCCACCCTTTCGAGCTGCATCCCCCCACCCGCCCTTCTAACTCCTTTTACCCTTCTTTACGGTCTTCTTTCTTCACGAAACCCTCTCTCTCTCTCTCTCTCTCTCTTTCTCTATTTCTTTCTCTCTCTTCTCTTCTCTTTTCTCTCTCTCTCTCTCTCTCTCTCTCTCTCTCTCTCTCTCTGAGTTTCTCTTTTGCTTGTTCACTCTCTCTCCCTTTTTTTTTTCTCCCGTTTTTCGATCTTCTACGTCCGTCGTTCCACTTGAGTCAAACCTTGGAGCCCTTCATGCGATACAGTCTTCGGCAAACGGTTCACATCTTCGACGATCTTGTTGAAGGATCGATAGAGTAGTATCGCTGTAATGAAAAGAGCGAATTTATTGATATGTAATAATCGACAAATCAAAACTGAAATATATTTATACACGATTACATTTGATAATATATCAAAAATTATCATTTATTAAAATAATCTTATCATAAACAAGCTAATATATCATATTTCATGTATATAAGAAATTTGTCAAACAAGAAGTATAATTGTAAACCGAGGTAGCAAAGGAAGATGATGAAAATTCTATTCGCTCGAGAATAAAATTTATATAAAGTAAATCGCTGAAATAAAATCGTTTCGTGACTTTCGCGGGGAAAAAAATCTTTGATACGAAACGATGAACGATGACGACGTAAAATATTTTTCGTATTCTTAGGAAAAGCCACGTAGCCTTTCTCCTCTTTGTGACACGTCGTATGGCTTACACGCGCTTACCCTCCGCAAATATCGACCGCCATTCATAATTTAGCCCAGTCGATTCTGAATGGGGGTATATTATGTAGTATAGCGTGGCAGATATGTGTTGTCTCATATTCTCCGAATTTAAATGGAACTTTTGGATTTTATACGAAGCTAATATTCGTCGTAATATTTCATTTCTATTGAACGTTCAACAAAATTTTTCTTCTTTTTCGATTTAATAATAATCTCATCTTCTCCGATCAAAATTGTATTCACAAAAGAATAGTTTTTAAGATTAACTACTGGACCACAAATAACGAATTTAATTCGTCATAGTTATTTAATGCCAAATTATACAAATACATTTGTTATAAGATTTGTGATATTAATCGTATCCATATGAAAGACAATTCCAATTAAATCATACGTAAAATTATTAATTTCGATATAAGAGGATAATTTTTGTTAAAACGATTTTAGATTAAAAATTTTTATTTAAAATAAATATTTTCTATAGAATTGGTTATCACGTTGATTTAATTTCTGTACAAGTACAGAATTAGTTAAAATTTCTCAGATCTGTAGTTTCACTATCTGAAAAAGAATAAGCCTAAAAAAATTTGGATAAAATGTGATTAATCCTTATAATAATTTAGAAACTTTTAGTTTAGTTTGAATTAACATTGTGACGTTTTATAGAAATACGTAAAAGTTTTCTACTGGAAACGACCATTTTGAGGTTTTACTATTTTCCGGTTCTTTTTTCTTTTCTTTTTCTAAAGTAACTGCCTTTTCGTGGTCACGATAGGAACAAAATAAATTTGTCGATAACGACTTGTTAAGAAAATCTTCGTGCATGGCGTCACGCGATACTCGCGTCGATCAAATACTGTTACGTGAAAAGCTGCTTAACGAAGTCTTCGACGTATAATGTTAAAATTACAAAGTAACTTTACTCCCTTTCTTTTCTTTTCTTTCCTTGTAACTTTTTTTTATCTTGTGAATAGTCTCCCCTTGCATGTGACTATATCAAGGTTCTTGAAGTAAACTATAGAGATCTAGAAAATCACTCCTGTAATTTAAACGTTTATTACCTTCATCTCGGACAACGAACTCTCAAAAAAGTATTCTCAATTTCATTTTAAGATAAATTTATCTTGAATTTTACTATCTTCTTTTTTTTTTTTTTATATACAAATGCTTACAAAAATAGTCATTGGAAGGATTTTTTCGTCGAAAGATAGTCGGATCATTATCTATTCTGTGAATGTGTCGTCAGAAAACGATCGATTGAAAAAGAGAGTTATCACGTGATAGATAAGAGATACATAAGTGATCATTGAAAGATAAGATAGCATGATACGGTGTTCCTTGATAATACAAATATTTGTAAAACATTGACCATTGAGTTTATAAAAAATGCTATTGGATAATTTAAAAGCTAGAAAATATTACAACGTGACCATCTTGTACATTGTAAAATCAAATTAATTCGCTAACGATATTATCCCGGAAATGACTTTAAAAGCATGTTTAATAACCCTATTGGCGTATTATAATAAAATTCTCGAATTACGAGGTATTGTTTTATTTACGAGAGAAAAATTCCATTGAAATACCGACGAGCGTCAAAGGGGATTCCAACAAGCGGCATCGCTATTCCAGGGAATTCTTGTCCATCGCTTTCTGATCGACGCAGCGATAAAAGTGCTCGATCGCTATGAAAGAGCCGCAAAGAAAATTTTTCGTATATTGCGAGGTAAAGCGTGTATTCCTTTGAATACGACCGATAAGACGTCAACCATGATTTCATGTCCTGCGTGTAGCGATTAAAGTCGAATAAAAAACCGGCTCAATGCGAAAGTGCTATTGATAACGGCTCGCCAACGATGCCGCATAAATAAAAAAAATCTCTTCGTTAATTGCTCCTTCTTATTTATATTTTATAGTAATGTACGGTTGAATTCGAATAATGCAGGAGAAAAAAAGGGGTTGAAGGAAAAAAATTGATCTTAATTGAGACATACTTTTGAAAAAATCCGCGACTATTTAAATTCTTTTTTTTCTTTTCCTTTTTTTTCTTTTTCGTTTTCTTCTCGTTTCTCGTTTTCAAAGAATAAATCTATTAATGCATTCATATTTTGCAAGCATGAATTATTTTAGTGATCAGTAAATGGTAATATCGAATTTCATGTTTATCCAATTTATTAATTAAACGAACATTTGATGATAGATGCGCGTGTCCGTAATAACTTTTGCCTTCATACTGTATTTCTACGAGTTTCACGCACGCTTTTCTATATATGAACAGCATGCGCTCCTTTCATATCGTAAATATCAATTTTCGAACGTTTGCGTTGGGAAGTAGATCAAAGGCAATGTCGAAGGAAAGAAAAAAGGGTGGAAGAGAAAGAGAGAGGAAAATGTGACAAGGGTTGAGCTGTTGAAGAAGAATGTCAAAGGCAAAATCGGAAGCGATCTAAGCATACGACACGATATACGTACGTATATGCACAGATATAGATGTTATATACGAGGCTACGTATGTAATATATGTAGAACGACCAACATTTTCGTCGAAAAATATTTTATCCCAAGACGTGATAATGTAATCGATTAATCGATTCAATAGCATTTTTATCAGGTACTCGCTAAAATCGGAATAAAATGAGGTAAAAAGGAGAGAGAAAAAAAGAAAGAGAGAGAGAGAAAGAGAGAGAGAGAGAGAGAGAGAGAGAGAGAGAGAGAGAGAGAAAGAGTAAGAGAGAAAGAAGTTCTTTAAAACTCACGTGCCAGATAATGTAGTCGTAAATTACTTACAAGCTCGAACAAGCGATCGAAGAGAGAAAATCCCTGCGAATTTGAGAAAAACGAAGAGTTTAGAAGAGGTTAGATCGTAAACGTTTCCCGCGATTTGTCGTGAGACTTTTACAAGCTCATAGACATATTTTAAAAAGAGAAGAAAATATCGAGGATGTGAAGTCGAATAGAATGGCTCTAGGAGCATGCAGCATCCTAGTGACGATACTCGATGCGGTGAACCGACCAGCCACTGCCATCTTTCTTATTTATTCGTACCTTCGCGATTTCATCCCGACGATGTCGTTTAGTAGCCTCGTTGTGCTGCTCGAAGCTCCACCGTTCTCGTTCGAGTTTCCGTGCTCGCGCCACTTTTTTTCCTTTTTTTCTTTTTACCCTCGTGTCAGGGTCTCTCGATGTTATATCTATTTCTCTTTCTTTTTCTTATTCAGTCAAAAAAACTAGACTTCCTTCGGTCTTCCTTTCTCTTTTAACACGTCTCTCTCTCTCTCTCTCTTTCTCTCTTCCTCTCTCTTTAGATTAGAATATGATCACACACAGAGAGAGAGAGAGAAAGAGATGAGGGGATGCAGCTTCCAATAAATCCTCTTGAATTCTCTTTGAACTGAAACGATAGCTCGCTACGCGATCTCTATGCGAATCTTGCACGCGAGGCACGCACATCCGTGCATGTTCGCAGTCTCTCGGCTGACCCGGCCTGGGCTTTACTACTAGCAGAGAATCGAGGGAGAGAAGAACAGCCAAGTTCCTTCCTTTCTTCTCTTCTTCCCTCACCCACCTGCCATCCCTCTCTCTTTCTCTCTCTCTCTCTCTCTCTCTCTCTCTCTCTCTCTCTCTCTCTCTCTCCATCTGCCCGGGTGCTTAGGCGTCGATACATCGACGACGCTTGCGCGCCGCCCTCGGTACACCCTCCCTTACCCCCTTTTCCAACTACTCATTTTCACAGCGCATTGGCTGCGACTCTGTCGCCGTGCTGGTAGCCCACCCTGCATGAACGCCCGACTAAGCGCGACCGAGGACTCAAGGAATCTTTCACGAAATCTCAAGCAGCTATTGCTCGCCTTCCTAGTTCCCTCCTTCACTTCATTCCTCAATCCTCTTCTCCTATTCACCTTCTCGCGATCGCACGTGCTTTTCGATTTTCTCGTTGCTCATAAAATCAATTGAATTACTCGAATGAATATTTCTACGATCTATTCATTATTTTTATTCATAAATTAAATGTATACGGAAATCAAAGTTTAAGTTTAATATAGAAGGACGAACGAAGTTTTCAATGTTTTTATTCTTGTCTTTCTTATAAGAGATTAATGGTGAAGAAGTTTATTGAGAAGAACTTGCCAAATCTCTTTTCTCTCCAGTCGAAGTCAATACATTCTTGAAGATAAGTTTTTAACTCTTTGCAGATTTTAATTAAGTCGATCAACGTAGTTACGACTTTGATGTTCATCGTATAAATTCTCTATCTTTAATTAATTTTCTTCTTTAATTTTTTCTCTTTTTCTTTTTTTTTCTTTTTTTTAGAAAAATATTTGCAATTAAATGTATATTAAATTTTATAATAAAAAAATTTAATTTTATAATATTAAATTTTATAATAAAAAAATTTAAAGGAAATTTCAATTTGGTTCTATAAAGAACTTTTGACTTTTTCGATCGAGAAAAACTGTACATTTTTACAAATTGTAAGTTTTTAAATTAAATATATTCACGATCTTTTGAATTTATCATAGTACAAATGTCATCGAGTAGATTTCTCTTCGTTTTTGCTTTGAAAAATATAGAAAAGAAAAAGAAAAGTATTTAGCGAGTTGTGCACGTATTTATTTATAACGAGCGCGTACTCAATCAAAAAAAAGAAAAAAAAAGAAAACAAAAGAAAAAAAAAACATTTTATTCATTCGTGAAGTGATTCATTAGATCTTTCTCTCATTGCCGATCACAAATAATTATCGCGAATCATTTAAAAGAATTGCGACTCGTTAAAGTGAAAGTACTTTATAACGAGATAAAAGTAGAAATGGGAAAATTCGTATTTATATGTTGCGAATGATTTTGTTATTTTTTCCTAATGTCATTCGAAGCACACGCATGAATGAAAAATATCTTTATTCTAATTTTATTCTTTAATTATTGTGCCTATTGATCGACAATTATCTTAATTAGTTCTTTGCCAACATTTATCATGATCATTTATACGGCCAATGAATAACGAACGCTAATTTTTCATCTCATATCTCGGTTCAAGTGATTTCAAACTTTCTTCGCTTTTCATAACTGAGAAAAAAGTTTTATGTTCTCGTCCTGTTCCCCTTTCTTTCTTTCTCTCTTTCTATTTGATCCCGATTTTATTACTGTAGCTCTTTGCCGTTGAACCTCGAGATATATCCGGCAATGTACTTTTATCAAGTACGTTCGTCGTATGTCGCGATAGATTTGGCACAAGCGAATGGTTGTTGCTTAAGAAATGAATCCTAGGCATATCATTTTATTGCTATACATTCATATTCTTTTTTAAGCTGTACATATGAAATATAAACAAAAAATAAACCTCGGAAAAAAGATAAAAATAAAAAGAGTTACTTGGCAATAATTCTTTCAAAGTATGTCACCCGTTGTACAAGCGAAGATAATTCCAGCCAACTCTAAAAGGGATTACGAGTACAAAAAGTTAACCTTTAAAGGTTATCGTGGAAATTCGACTCTAAACGAATTTTCTTTTAATATTGCTTTAAAACTCGACAACTTGTTACACAGATTTTGTATATATTTTCAAAAGATCATAGAACAATTTTTCTCCCGTAAATTTTTCTTAATTATTCTCATTTTTCTCATTGGTTTATAAAATAAAAAATAATATATCGACGTGAAATTCTATTCATAATAGGATTAAATTGCAAATTTCCCTTGTGATAAATTCACTGAATGGAGTTAAAAAAGAATTGTAATCACGTAAGTGACCATCCGAAAAAAAAGTTATGCATTTAATATTCCTAATAACGTTCGTTCGGATGTAAACGCAAGCCGCTGGTAAGTCGGAGAATGCAATGGAATTCCGATGACATAAAATCGTTGATCGCGGTAATTCGGAACGAGCAAGGCCTCGTGCTGACCTTAGCGAAGCCCCATCCCTGCTGTATTCTATTCAAATCAGATAGGGCCTCCTTTCATCCGCTCACCTTAGACACGTTGATTAAGTCTCTCCGGTGCTATTTTCGCGTACACTTGATTAGAAGACAAGGGATTCACTTTCACGTTTTTGTCTCGTTATCAACCTCTTTTGTTACTTCATTCGAATACGTAATACCTCTTTTGCATTGTATTAGAATATTATTAGCGACAATGAATCTTTTGGAATTCATTTGGTAATTAGAAAAAAAAACGATAAACGTAGGTTCGATCGAATTTTTATTCATAAAGAAAGATATATATATATATATATATATATATATATATATATAATTACTTTTGTTCTTTCTAAATGTGTGGGAAAAAAAAATGAAAAAAATAGACGATACAGAGAGACGCATTCGTCATCGTTGTGACGCAACGTGAGTATAGAGTCACTAAATTTGACACAGATACGTTTCATTCTGCATGACTGTGTACTCGTTCGATACGTTGGCTCATTCTGAAACCGCGAGCATTGTGCCTTTCAAATTGGCACATCTCTGATATGAAACTTGCGGAGGTTTTCATTGTTGTCTTCGTTGTGCGAGAGAGCGTTCTTCACGCGATGCGGACTCTCGAGAGAAGGAACGGTTCGAAAAATAAAAATTGTCAATGGAGTTTTGCTGCCGTAATTTTGGCTAAATTTTCAATGATTTTTTTTATATCTAAAATGATCCTTTCCTCGATGGTTGTTTCGCTTATCGATAATAACATCATTGGAAAAGTCAATGAAAGTTTTAAAGAGAGGAGACTCGTGTTTCTCATAGAAATGCAGGAACATCGTAAATATTATTGTGCGACACGTTCATGTCCTAGACCTCTTAAACGCACCAGAGGTTTATCGATCTGCCAGTCAGTCGAGGCAGCCAAGAGTCCAAAAATGCTGGTCGCAGGCGTCGTCGCCATTTGATCTAAAACCAACGACTACCATGACGACCTCGTTGAAGGTCTCTGCCAAATGATTGTGTACTGTTTGAAAGCATGTCGAGGACACAAGGAAAGACTAAAAAGACCAATGGTTATATTCATAATCGGTGTTTAGAAATTCTTATAGTTTCAAACAAAGGATTACACAAGCTTAAGAGAATAGTGATACGCTTTATATGTACACATATATGTTGACGATTAGCACGTTAAGGAGAAACTACGATGAGGAAGAAAGTAAACGAACGAACAAGAAAATGATCAATGATCGTTCTGATCATCGAAGTTCCGTCGAAACAATTCTATTATGATATTTCCCATAAATTCTGCCGCTTCTGGTTACTCTATAATTGATCTGATGATTCGTTTGGGTCGAGGACGAGGATGGCGAGACGTGTGGACCATCGCCTGTACACAATCGTTTTACCCGAGTCTTGATACCGGTTGTAGTCTTGCAATTGTGTTCTTGTAGTTGTTGTAGCTGTCGATTACAATAATGACCTAACAAAATACCGTGTTGCTGTTTTAATTGCAACTGTTGCTGTTTCATTTTGGTTGTCGTCATCGTTGTCGCCGTCGCTGTCGTCGTTGCCGTCGCCATATTCGTCATCGTTGTTGTCCTCATTGGCTTCATTACCACTGACGAAGTTTTTCCTTTCAGTAACGCAACCAACATCCGTCTTTTTAACAGTCTAAACGGTGATACTGCCAAAATAGCTTTTGTAATTCGTCTTCTGCAACGCCAGAGTATTACCGCGGTAGCGAACCAAGCGAACCACGGACTGGTCCTAGGATCTGCCGCCGGTTCCTTCGACCAGAGGAATAACATCTGAAGAGTACATTAGTACAAGTGCACTTCCACGGGCCTCTAATAAAGATGGATCGTAGATTTATTTAGAAGATTATTCTGATTGCCAAATGGTTCTACGATATCCGTCTTAATACATTCACTATTTATCGTATTTCTTTTATGAACAGCGAACACGTCATTATCAAATTGATAAAAAATCTACGATATTATTAACATATTGCAGATATTAAAATATCTCATATCTTTCATATAATGTTAGTCAGTTAATAATTATATATTTTGATTATCCCTTAACAGATGATAGCAATTCCTTCTTTTGAGTAAACTTTATATTCCCAATTGTTTATCTAAACTACATAAATCCATATATCTCTTAATTAGATATAATTACATAGTTATTTAAATATAAAAATGATGTAAGAAATTTAAGCAAATGTTTCAATCAGCAATCCATTAATATCGTTAATCCCTTACGTTACGGATATCCGAAATCTCGAGCGAATGTTACAAGTTCTTTTGAAATGAAAGTTACTTTGTTCGTAATTAGTTTGCTAGTTACAAGAGATTACGGAGTAATGATTGACTTTGGCCATTAGTGATTCAATTTGGTCAGTAGTGATTGAATTTGTCGATCTATATCACTATCGTTGCTTGTTTTAGCAAGTTAGTTGTTAGCGTGAGTTAACGCGATCGATTCAATCTAACCGTTGTACTTTTTCAAGGTTGCCGAGCGACAAATCCTTTGATAATTCGTTTAGAGATGCCTCTTAACTGGATGCCTAGACTTGTGTTTAGACTTTTATGGCTCCATCGTGAGCGCAAAACGCCTTTCGACGTAGCTTTTGCTCGAGATTTCGTTTCCTTCTTCTTTATCCCTATACGAATTGACCCATTTGGCAAAGACCTCTGCGAGGAAGAATTCCGCATTAGCCGCACGTTTTTACTATCAAGACTGACCTTATATATCCACTCGCTGGCGCGCTGCCTGAAACTGAGAGGTCGATCGACTAGCCGAAACATAGAATGGCCGTGAACGGTGACACGTTGAGGACTGCGTCGGTGGAACCTATGATATACGAGATAATCATGTATGAGAGAGAAAGAGAAGTACGTAGTCCTCTTTCCTGGTTGAACTCGAGGAATGAAAACTTTAAAGAGCATGAAGGTTGCAATCGTTATAGGTATGTAAAACAGTCGTCAAAGTCGTAACACGTTTTATATGTTCGACATGGAGATAGAGAAGATGAAAGAAATTTGGTTTCTTATAATGTGCATTCTAAGAAAAAGGTTCAAGGGAAAGAGCAAAGAGTAGAGGACGATATAAGGGTAGAAGAACGTATTGCATCGTATCGTATCGGTGAGGAAAAGCGGAAGGAGTACGGAGGTCAAGTACTACCGGAGAGATGCGTTTTATATAGTACGAAAGCGCCAGAAACAGAGAGAGAGAGAAATAAATAAATATATATATATATATATAGAGAGAGAGAGAGAAAGAGAGAGCGAGAGAAAGAGAGAAAGATGATGTCAAGGCAAACGCGAAGCAGTGAGACGCGTATCTATAAGGACGACCTGAAAAAGGAGAGGGAAAATGGAATTCGAGAAGGACGACGATAAATTTTCAAAGTTCCTTCTGTGCCCTTCAAGAGCACAAGTTTTTTCTGAGTCATCGAATAGAGTTTATTGATCGAAGGCGAAATCGTCGAGTTGCGACGGATATAACTTACTAGCATCAGTGAAAATAAGAGAGCCTCGCTTGCTCGACAAGTATAAGTTTTTTATGCCTTTCACCGACGTGAAATTGAAGACTTTTTTGCTAGATTTCCACCCTTTGGAGTGGCTGCTCCACGCCCTTTTTCTTTCTCCTTTATCCACGGCAAAACGTAACAAGGGTAAAAAAAATTCGATTCTAACCAAACTGTATTTGATTTCTCTCACTGTCGTCACCATTAATCACCTTAGATAAAGGAGTTTACTCCGATGATACTACGACGATTTTTCATATCCTTCGCTCTTTCGCGGATAAACTTTGAATATAAAAAGTATTTCGGTAAAGAGGTAAAAAAAAAAAGTTCGGGTAAATGACGTACGAAACGGCCTCGGCTCAGAATTTAGACAAAGGATTGTGATCGACTGTATGAAGTTTGTTATACATGATTATCAATCGAGATTAAATCTTTTATAAATTATTCCGATCTTCTTCGGTCTTACATACATGTAGTATGTACATATGTATGTGTAAGTATACGTATCCTTAACTTCTATCATAGTAATCGAGGACGAATTTGGATGGAAAAAAAAAGTTCGGTCAAGGTCTTCGCTCTTTCAAAAGAAATAAAAAAAAAAAAAAAAGAAAAAACCAGCCTAAACTTGCTTTCGTTTTATGACAGCGCAGTTTGCTAAGGCGATTTACGTGACTAGGATAGGTCAGTCTTTGGCCGCCTTTGACCGCCTCACCTCCTTAGAGTCTCTCGGCCGACCTACCTTTCCTTCCTGACGTCACGGGATCGTGTCATTAGGTCAAATACTGGATACGTTACCAGAGCGAGCTCTCTGCGTGCTGTGTTTCATTCATCTACCGGGTGTTTCTCTTTGTACGATCTTCTCCTTTGAGACCAATTAATTACAGACGAGACAAGGCAAATGGGCAAGTGGTACCTATCATAATTTAGTAATGACACCTCTAATTATATCATTTTACGTAACATTATTTTATCAGAAAATTATTACAATCGTAATTTATTAATATTTGATAATTAATTTATAGTATACACGAATTATATGTAATAATTTATTGTTAGTGATAGATCAATAAAAAAAAAGAAAGAGAAAAAAAAAGGTTTATTTGTAGATTCAGTAACTTGTTCGCAATTTTAAACCAAGAAAAATTCCACGATCTCTTAATAGTCATCGTGACAGGTCTCTTGATTGACAATTGGATATATCGAACGCTGCTGGTTATAGACGGAAAATAAAAGAAAAAAATACTTCTACCATTTATGAGTTACAAAGTGTTGAAATATGAAGACTGATTGATTTTTAAATGTAGGTTCAATCGATGGTAAATCGTGATTCTGAAATACGATCGGCAAAAATGGAAATTTTTTAAAAGAATCCAATGTATTAGCGATGTTTGATTGTTCACGTAACATTGCAAATAATTCCGCAAGTAGCTTTATTGTTGAGTTCACATTGAAGCGTAAACAAAATATTATCGAGCGGTACAGTACAAGACGTCGGCCGTCGGTCTTTTAAAGAGCATTTCCACGCTTCACACAGCCGTCTGAATGACGCCAGACGTCGCGACGCCCTTACAATAAAGCAATTTCTACTCCCACACATAAAGACCGCGAGGGAACTGGCTGTGTTGTTTCTAATCAGAAGATAAAGGGGAAGAAAATTGTAATACTCCTATAAGATGTGAGAATTCATGTTTCATACGTGGATTTATGTAGGTATTATGGGTAAAATAAATATTTCGATGTTATTTAAAATAGAATAAATTTTTTTTTAGATCGAAAAAGATCACTCGAAATTTTTTTTTAATAAATACCAAAACAATTCGCCCGTTATATCAAGTATTAATAATTAAATAAAACTATTGTTTTACATTGTAGCACAGTACTGACAAATATAAAATAAACTTTGTATAAATTTTATGATAATAAAAAATAAATATGTAAAGATTAAAATTTCTGTACGATTTTTCAAAGATTTTTGAATAATTTCAAATTATAATTTTCCAAAATACGTATAATTGTTTTTCCTTATAAGCACTTCATAAAAAATTTTTTATAAAAAGTTATCGTTTTATATTTTTTATCGTTATCGCAATATAAAATTATTTCCATTGTATTTTTACAGCGCATTAATCACTACATATCTCCCATACAAAAACTTTAAAGCTCTTTGAGTTGAGAGCACATGGAGTCTATAAAAAGTTATTTGATTTTAAATAGCATGCGAATACTCTTTTTTTACAAACTGTACATATTTTTGTACTTATTTAAAAGATCCAACGATTTCTTTTTCATTCAGTATCGAGATATTCTATACATAATTCAAGTCGTCGAATACATAATTGAGATTGTTCCGTGAATGTCAAATAATTTTCTATACCTATAAAAATTCATATTATGTTTCTATGAAAAAAAAAAAAAGGAAAAAAAAGAAAGTCATGATTTTATCAAAATCATTATGATATCGTGTGCGATTTTTCGTATCATATCAATTTCTTCAACGTTCATTATTTTTTTCCAGAACAGTAAATTTTCTTTGACTTCGTAATCGAAGTCTCTAACGAGACGCTATTCTCATTTTTAAAGCGATTTTTTTGGTCCTTTAATTTTCTTACTTCTTTCTCCAAAAAAGAAGAAAAAAAAAAAAAAAAATAAAAAAAATAAAAAAAATATAAAAATATGCTATCTAACGAATCTTCTTTCTTCGAGGCAAAACAAAATCGTTGTTTCACAGTCGGTAACATAGATCTCTATGTTACAGTTCCTTTCCTTTATCTCAAGACACGAAGAAAATGATTCGAGGCAGAGCTCATTAGCTATCGGACAAGTTACAAATCGTTTATCGACTTCATGATCGTTTACGCGTGTTTTCCTATGATTGCTATCGATCATTAAAAAAATTGCAGTTGAACGAGTAAAAGGATATCATTAAATAAACGATGTTAGTTAACGAATGATAGTTAATGAAAGATGACGCGTATGACGTTTCGATAATTATCTTTGAATTCTAGCAAGTGAATTACAAACAAAATGAAAGTGAATCATGTAAACGATCGCGCCTAGAACGAATATATGCACGTTAAACGCGTTCGTCTTTAAAAGGAACAAAATGCTGCTCTTGACAATGACGTTCGCTTCGTTTATTCCGATAACAAGTTTCTACCATAGCTCATGAATTTCATCGAAGAATTTACTTTGGCATTTCGTATCATTTTATTTCAAAAGTTCTCAAAGCTAGCTATTTTACATTTGGCCCGTTGAGATACTCTTATTAGGCCAGACACGAAATTTCCTTTCTGATCTTTAACATTTCGAAATTCAAAGTTTTTCTTTTATAGAAAGTTTCACGCTTGTCAGCTTTAAGCGACTCTATATAGTATAGAAATATAAAGGGTAAGTAAGTAGACGATATACATAATACGATCTTTTAAATATTCTTAGACGTGACGAAGAGGAGAATGCTACGATTTGCACTAGTTCTTTTCAATTTCGCAATCTTACGTAATCGAATTTCTCGAGTTTTAAGGTCAATCTTATTTACGTCGCGGAATAAATTCATTCATTCAAAATAATTACCAATCTTTCCAAGACCTTGGAAATGGATAACACAATGACAATAGCTATTCTATCTCTTTATCGTTTAGCAGTCGTTACGTGTACTACCGAGAGTACAATGCACGCCGTATAGTTATACAGTGCTAAATTATTATTGGAAAGTATACTTCCGCGCGAAAACGTTCTATAGTAGCAAAGCTAGATAGGCGGTTTGAAATTTTTTTTTTTTATTCCCATTGAAAGTATCTTCGTATAGGTACTAAGGTTAAAGGTCAAGATAACTTATCGGTTCGTCCATTGAAAACTAACCAACCTCTCGAAACGATAGCATATCAAAATCATCAATCAATCGCTTTGTTTTAAAGTAGCCCACTTGTGTCAAGAGAAGTTCTACATTTTATCTCGATGAAGGACGATGAACGTTATCCTGCAAAGAGGAATTTATTTTGTTACTATTTTTTTTTCTCTTTTTGACATTAACAGCTCTCGCGTGTCTCGTGCCCTTAATGGGTAATAATATGACGATGATCCGCGCAATTACCTTGCCCTTCGTTCGAATGGGGCACGGTTCTGAAGGTAGCCTCGAAGCAAACAAAAAGGCTCAAGAGACCTCGCTGCGGTTGCAATACATCGCTGTCCTTGGTCGAGACCGAGTACCGTCCACTCGACGTTTCAAAAACTTCACCGAGACTCTAAGAGTCAGCTTATCTTTCTCAAACGACACGACGACGACGACGACGACGACGACGACGACGACGCCTTTCGATATTTTATT